CAGTCATCATGCACCCTCTCCTCCCCTGCCCAATCATAGCCATTTTTGGCCAAGCCATTTCGGCATTGCAGTTTTCGCAGCGGCCCCAGCGGGCGACTTCATCAGACACCAGCAGTATCAGTTATCAGCAGATCATGGCGCCAAAGAAGGAACCCAGGGTCGCCAAGGCCAAGGCCAAGGCAGCCGCGGGGGGAGGCGGTGGCGGAGGTGGCGGCGGCGGGAGTGCTGCCTCAGCAACGGTTTCGCAGCAGCGGGCGGACAACTCCAAGTACATGCAGTTGGTGCAGGATGACGTGAATGTCGTACTGGAGCATGTGCCAGATCTCAAGAGCAAGGCGCCCCTTGGCCTGGCCGAAGGTGGCTCCACTGTGGGGTTCAAGATGGAGACGATGCTGAGCATGTATGGCAACACTGGCCTCTACGACTGCGGCTTCAACCTGTCCCTTCTGTCCCTCAACTCGCCCACGCCCGAGCTGCCCCTGTCCGTCAAGAAGAAGAACCAGCTGCTCAACGCGTACTACTTGAATCCGCGCAGGTGCGATAAGCTCACGATCGGCGTCGACAAAGATATCTCCAAGAAGGACATGGAGGCCCTTCTGAAGGAATACAATGTACCAGTATGCTTTCCCCTGGAGCACCTTCACGCTTGGTGGGCCGGCTTCGCCGTGGCAGTGCGCCGGGGGGACGAGGATGAGATCAAGGAGTGGATCAAGGCCTGCATCACCACCGTAGTGCACTTCAAACACATGGTCAACGAAGACATCATATGGAAGTCCATGCAAGGCCGCGAGGACATCGCGACGGACTTCGAGGCCTTACGCTGCACGCCTTTGATGCGGGTCCTGAACTTCGGCGCTTTCAAGGTCCGCCAGGAGCAGCATGGCAAGGTGTCGGTGGCGGACTTGGTAGCGAAGTATAGGGAGCACCTTGACTTGTCTTCCAGGTCAGAGAAAGTCACTGTTGGCTGGGTGGACCAGGCATGCACTTTCCTGAACAGGATGTACAACATCCCTGGAGTTGCGAAGCTACTCAACGAGGCGGAGGACCTGCCGTCGGGAACGAATCCGCTCGAGGGCACTAGCAAACTGCAAGCCATCATCCAGAAGGCCCGCACCCCCGACAAAATCATGAAGGTCGTGGAGCACGTCCTGGACGCCCATAAGTCTGGGTTCCTCACCACTCCTCCATCCTACGCCTCCTTCATGGGCCAGACGTCCGGCAGCTCAGGCAAGGGCTTGGTGGACCTCATTATCTTCAAGTGGGACGTGGCTTACAACATCCTCAATGACTGGGTGCAGGCCCATCCGTTTCCAGCAGAGGCCCTCGTCGAGATGAAGATGGTTCTGGGCAGCATTCAAAGCTACAGGTCGAAGTGCGGCTTTCCCAGCGACAAGAAGGACATGACGTTCAGGGCGGGGTGGCGCAACTCTTGCGAGGAGCTCTTTGTTTTCGTGGAGGCCGTCCTGTTTGACGCTATGTATGATGCCCACATGAAGGAGGCGCTCAAGTCCAACTCGGGCGCGGCGGACGCGGTGGCCAACCAGTTCAGCGAGTTCTTGCAGCCCATTGCGGACATGGCGAAGGAAGAGGCCAAGGACGAGGGAGGGCAATCCTACAATAACACACACCCTCGTTACCCTTCTTCTCTACCCCTCCACCCCCTACTCTGGGTTGTCCCCCTCCCTCATCGGAGGGGGATATACCTGGTGGCGGCACGGGCAGTCCGAAGCTTTATATCGTTAATGTTTTCTTTCCTGTAGAAAAAACGTCTTCAAACATGAAACCTGACGGCCGGCAATGTATTGCTATGTTTCCGCTTCTTCCAGGAGGCGGGCGAGGGCGACGCTGATGAAGCTGCCGACGATGATACTGTTCAAGCATCTGTGGGCGAGAGGAGGCCCGCGCTGCCCGCTAGCCTGATGAGGAGAGTGCGCTCCAGAGACGATGCAGGGATGGGCGGCGGGTCGGACGACGACGACGAGACTCACCCAGAGGACAAGTTCACAGAGCACTGCGCCAGGCTCATCAGCACGCATGTGGCGTTGATTGCTGACAAGGGTGGCTCTGACAAAGCCCTGGGGGAACAGATCGCGGAGACTGCAGCGGGCAAGTACACGATCAAGGATCACCTGATTCCCGCGGGCAAGGGCTCTGTGTTGTTGGTTATCGACCCTGCCGACATGACTGAGAGCAGCGCCCACCCGCACCTGCGCAAAGCCCAGATTCCCGCCAACATGGTCGAGCGGTGTGTGAACTCGGGGTGCGTGGCCCGTTCCATTGCCCATTCGAAGAATTCAGACCCTGACCCCTCCGAATTGCTTGGATGCGACGACCTGTGGTTGCTGTTCGACGGCGGCCGGCAGGTTGAGAACAACCTCATGAAGCCTTTCAAGAGGGCGACGAATCGGAACAAGTTCCAGCTCATGCTCTCTTACGACGAGGAGTCGGTGCTGACGAACATCGGTCGCGTCAGCGCCATGGGGTCGTTGAAGCTCACAGAGGTGGTCCACCTTGTATCCAGCGCCGACTGGACTTGCGCTCGCAGGGTGCACGCGCACTACAAGGGCAGCAACTTCAGCGACCAGTTAGGGCTTATCAAAGCTGACGACTGGGATTCGGACTCCGTGTGGAAGCTGGGCAGGAAGGATAAGAAGACATTGATGGGCCGGTTCAAAGTGGACGTGGGTGGATCAGTCGATGCAGGTCTTGCCGTTACCTCGAAGTGGAAGACGAAGGAGCAGGAGCCAGTCTGGTTCCATCAGAAGCCCTACTTGCTCTGCGACGAGCTGGTGCACTCGTACTTTGGGAAAGCCGTCATTGACTACAGCCCCTCATGCGGTCATTTTGCAATGTCATGCATGCGCAGGAGGCTGCCGTACGTGGGGATCACTTGCTCGGAGTTTCACAGCGAGGAGCTGCTCAAGCACCTCTTGGAGGAGGTGAAGAAGGCGGTCCAGGATCCCAGCGACGCGCTCTACAGGGAGGAGTTCGCGAAGGGCGGGGATGACGATGATGGTGGCGACAACGACGGGCCCCCGAAGAAGAAGCCGAGGGGCAGCAATGACAACAAAGGCAACAAGGGCAGCAAGGAGACGGGCGAGGCGGGCAACAAGGGCAGCAAGGGCAGCAAGGGCGATCAGGGCACCAAGGGCAGCAAGTCGAACCTCATGAGCAAGCTCAAGGGCTTGATGGGCACCGAGGACGCCAAGGAGGAGGAGGAGGAGGATCCCTCTGATGAGTGAGGACGGCGCTTGATCTGTTTGTTGTGGCTGCTGGTGCACAACGCTGGGGCAGGCTGCCAATGATTTTTTGGCTGACCTGTTCTTTTCTCTTGGCCATAGGCCGCCGCGTGCAGACATAAATCATTCCTTCTCCTTCTCGCTCCTCAGTTGACCCCTCATTGCCTCCTCTTTCGCGTCATCAGTTGGCGCCGCCATATGAATGGGATGATAAGCCTGCCGGTAGTCCTCCCCCTCTCCTCCAGTTTGGTTTAAGACCAGTGTTAAAACGAAAACACATATATGACTCTCTCTCTCTCTCCCTCTGTGCCCCTCAATGTTTCAAGCGTCAGTCTCACGGCCGTGGAAAATGGCATCCCTCTTTGATTTGCGCGCGATGCGGCGTGCAATAATATGCAGGGGGGTAGCGCTACTGGAAACGTATATAGTGGGCTGGCAATATTCTAGGCTGGTGCGGTGCTGTGCTGAGCGTTATCGAACATTTGAAAGCGCGTGCGTGCACGAGCTGCGGGGCGATGCAATGCCACACAGCGGAGGGTAGCCGCTTTATCCCAGCAGAATATACCCGATGCTAGCCCGCTGGGTCCGTGAAGTGTAACATGACTTCCTCGTCCTCCTCTTGGTCGAGCTCTCCTCTTCCTCATCTTACTCCCCCTGCGCCTGTTCCCCCATCCATGCGGCCCAACCCTGGAGCTTCTGCGAAGAGGGATCTCAAACTTCTCTTCTAGTGCGTAAAACTCTCTTGAAGAATATGGGACGAGGATACGGGGACAACGAAGACGACGAGGAGAGGAGCGCGAGGACGAACTGCGAAACAAAACAAACACCATGAGGGTTACAAGGGTCCGTTGCCCTAAAGCCCCTGGGGGCCAAGGAAACCAACGCATATTGACGCCGCCCTGAGCCGCAGTCCGTCACCTGCCCCCGCCAAGCTCCAAGTCTGCCCCGTCACTACTATTATGATGATTGCTGGCGGCAAAGACACCCAGAGAGCTCGCCGGTGGTGCCGTCTCTGTCCTCCCCTACTCCTCCTCCTCACTCATGCCTCATTCCTTCCGTAGCCATTTGGGCTCTATATGCTAGCTGCCTGGAGTCTGGAACATCGCACTGGACTGTTGTAAGGTGTCGCAAGCCATGGACGATTGCTGGGATAGCGCTCACATTGCACGACAACAGAAAGCTACGACTCTGAAACATCGTCTTGAAGCCTCAGGCTACCGTGCGAAGCGTCCTGCCGGTAAACCTCCTGCGCCCACTCTGGCTCTCAAGAAGAAGAAAGCTAATGCGGCGGGCACCAGTGAGAATGTGATGGCGCGACGGAGCAGCAGCCCTGAAGTTACGGAGAAGAGAAGGATTTCGAAGCTTGACTGCGCTGAGGTCCGCTCCAGGGCTGACATCACCGTGGGCAGTGACTGCAGCGGGCTGGGCGCGGAGATCTTCGGGCTCCTGAGCATTGGCATCGGCTCGAGGATCATTCGCAAGTTCGCGTCGGAGTCCGACGAGAAGACGCGGGAGGTCTACGAGGCGAACCATCCCAAGTTAGAGAAGATGTACAACTCGTGCTGCTTGAAAGATAGGCGATTCGGATCCCCGAATCCATGCGTTTGGCCCCCGTCGCATCCCTCTAACAGCCTACGGGCGAAAGGGGGACGGGCGTGCGGCAGCGCATGGATCTGCGCGTGTCTTTCGAATCATGAGGCGGGTGGGAGGCGCCCCTCGCGTGGACCACTACGTTGCTGGCCCCCCGTGCGGCCCATGGAGCTTGGAGGGGAAACGCGGCGCTCTCAAGGACAAGGGCACCGCCGAGGATGCAAGCAATCGTGGGCCTGTCTTGTTCGACGTGGGTGGCTACATCATCTCGCGCCAGCCGAAGACCTTCATCGTCGAGGAGGTCGTCGGCATAACCACTGGGGATCGGCGCCCGGTGTTTGACAAGTTCATCAAGATGCTGAAGGACATCGCGTGCAGGAACAGGCGTGTCTATCATGTTGAGTGGAAGGAGGTCAACACCATGGAGATCGGAGGTGTCCCCCAGAACCGCCCGAGGATCTACATAGTTGGCGTTGATCGTTCTCTGGCCATCGGCGGCCCTGACGACATCAAATTCGACTGGCCAGAGACCATCAAGTGCCCCAAGCTGAGCGACTTCCTCAAGCCGAACAACGCTCCTAAGTGGACCCCTACCTCAGAGACCCAAGCCGCCAATCTCCTCAGGCTTTGGGAGCTGGCCCAAGATGAGACTTCCAAGGACCCCAAGACCACGATGTTCGTTTTCGACATTTCCTCCAGCGAGCAGTTCGCAAAAGGCTACATGAAAGAGCGGTGCCCTGCGATTACGCGGTCTCGTGCTAGCGGAGGCGGCTACTACCTGTCAGCGTGGCAGCGCATGACGACCGTAAAAGATCTCACCAAGCTGCAGGGCTTCCCTACGAACATGAAGCGCCCTTCCACCACGGAGAGGCAGTTCGCCATGATGCTTGGCAATGCTATGACGGTGCCCGTGCTCAGCAAGATCCAGAAGATGGTCCTGGGTGCAGCTGGCTACATCAAGGACTAGATGAATGGTGTCTCTGTGCACTATTGGGGGTACTTCTTCTACTTGAGCCGGGTGCCGACGATCCAGGACAGCGACTGCAGCCAAGAAAAAAACACCATCATCATTAGCATCATCATCATCATCATCAGCATTATCATCATCATCACCATCATCATCATCAAAATCATCATCATTACCACCATCGCCAACGGTACTATCACAATCACTGCTACTACCACTACCACAGTCACTGTTACAACCACTATTATCATACATGGTGGGGGGAGGAGGGAGGGGGAGGAGGGAGGATGAGGATAGGGGGAGAAGGAGGTGTAGGAGGAAGGAGGGCTAAGCTGACCTTCGCCCGACTCGGAGCCTAAGGGCTCAACATGGGCAAGCGGCGCGTTCTGCCGCCCTGGGCCCAGGGGAACCCTCCCCCACGGCCCCCCCCTCCTCGCGACGACGTCGCGGCGGCCGGGGGGGATGGCGATGACGACGCGGTGCTCAACGTTTTAAAACACTGAGGCTTTCAGTTACTTGTCCGGTGAAAGATGTCATGATGGCGTCCTAGTTTTGGTCCGGTGACAGATGTTATGATGGTGTCCCTAGTTTTGGTCCGGTGAGGCAAAACTTGAACGCCGAGCGGAGACTTGGGCAAAACGGAATGGGAGACGGGGAGAGAGGAGAGAAGAGAGTAGTATTCATATCGTGTAATGGTGGAGGAGGAGGAGGACGACGAGGAGGGAGGAGAGAAGAGGGGGCGAGAGGGGGAGGAAGACGAGAGGGCGATGTATGGAGAGATGATGTGGGAGTCGGGGGAGAGAACTCTGGGCCCCATGAGGAAGGAGAACTGGGTCTCCTTCGTTTTCGTCGAGATGCTGCGTTGAGCGAACTGGGTGATATGAGGCCTCGGGGGTCTAAAGGGTCTCTCAGCACTCGGAGCCTGCCAGAGTTTCGCGTTGGTCGGCGCAAGTTCGAAGCTTTTCAGTTGAAGGGCTCCCGCTCTAAGGGGCCGCGCGGGCCTTGCCGGGCGAAGTGCCTGTGCGAGGAGTGCTACTTGAGGAGGAAGTGTGGTTGAAATAATGCATCCTCCTCCTCCCCTCCTCCTCCTTCCTCTTCCTCCCCCTCCTATGCCCTCCCCTCCTCTCCTCTTCCTCCTCTTATTCCCCATCCTCTTCCTCCTCCTCCCCTCCTCCTTCTCCTCACCAATCACGTCTTTTTCGTCGTTGGATTGCCTAGCACTTGCTGTGTTCGCCGCTCTGCAGGGGACAGGGCGATCTCTCTCAGCTCGGAATCCCAACTTTCAGACGTAATGTGTGCTACAGGTATCTGCATTGAGTGAGGCCCCATCGGCAGGGACTGAAGATGTGCGGGGAGGCGGCCTTTGAGGTCAAGCCGAGTCCAAATAATTACATGCGATTTGCATTGCGTTGCATTCGCATGACATTTGAAAAGAATATTGCATTGCATTGAATTGCAATCGATTGGGAATATGATTTACATTGCATTGCAGTGCATTGCATTCCATTGGGAATATGATTTACATTGCATGAGCATTGAAAGGAATATTCGCATTTGCACTGCATTGCATTCGATTGGGAATGTGATTTGCTCCGTAGCCGTTTTGGCTCAAGCAAGGCTTGGCTCACGCCTCAAAGCTTAGCTCGGGTGCTTGGCTGGATCATGGTGCTGGGCACTGGCGGCTGGCGTCAACTGTGCGAGCAGCTCGTGGCAGGGCCTCCTAGCCCCCCGCTGTGCGACGACCTCTTCGACGAGCTCTTCGCCGACGGCGATGGTGGTGATGATGGCCGCGGCGAGGCTCAGCATCGCCAGGGGTGGCGGTATCGTGCCTCAACATCGGCGGTGGCAGCGCCTTGTCTCGGCATCAGCGGTGATGGGGCTCATCACGAGCACCGTGGCTCGGCATCATCTGCGGCGGCGGCACCTTTGCTGCATGCAATCGGCGGCGATGGACATCATCATCCTGAGCACCGTGGCTCGGCATCTTCTGCGGCGGCACCTTTGCAGGGCATCGGCGGCAGTGGACATCATCCTGAGCACCGTGGCTCGGCATCATGGGATGCGACACCTTTGATCGGCATCGGCGGCGATGGACATCATCATCATGATGAATGCTGTGGCTCGGCATCGTCGGCGGCGGTGGCGCCGTTGCCTGGATCAGGTGGCAGCTTGGAGGATCAGCAGCTGGTGGCGCCGCGGCCTGGATCAGGCGGCAGCTTGGAGGATCGGCAGCTTGGCGGCACTGCACCGCCGGTGGCGGCACCGCGGCCTGGATCAGGCGGCGCCTTGGAGGATCATCAAGCATCGGCGGCGGCGGTGGCACCGCGGCCTGGATCATCAAGCGGCAGCTTGGAGGATCGGCAGCTTGGCGGCGGTGCACTGCCGGTGGCGGAGACGCGGCCTGGATCAGGCGGCGGCTTGGAAGATCATCGAGCATCGGCGGCGGGGCCGCAGCTCGGAGCCAGCAACCCATCTGGCGGCGATGATCTGGTAGAGGAGCGCCATGGTGATTCTCATTTCGGGGCCTCGAAGAAGATGTGGTACTGCAGGAGGATGTGGTCCTAAGGGGACGGACGGGGCCATATTCTGATAAGAAGGGACCCAATCATAATAATAATGGGCCCCATGGGGGCCCTTGGGACCACGTCCTGTAGGACAACATCATCTTCGAGGCCCCGATGTTCGGCCATCTGCTATTGCGCGCAGCAGGAGTCGGAGCTCCTCCAGGCGCTTCCCGCCATTCCCACGCTGCGCGCCAGCTCCATCGCCACAGGAACGCGAGCGTATCCTGTGGGAGAGTGCGCGCGAAGACGCGCTGGCTGTCGCCGCCCGCGCGGCGGCGAGGTTCCCAGACCACATCGAGTTGCGGGAGCCCCTCCTCGATATCACGGAGGACGCCGTCCTCCGCCGTATCAGGTACCACCTGATTGGGGTGGAGGACGGCTACGTGGGCAGCACGTCGGACCCAGCGTGGCGCTGGGAGGGTGGGCATTGCTGGCGTTGCGAGCGCAACTCTGTCGCGCCCAGGTTGCACCCCACGCACATGCTGGGCCACTGCCGTAGGTGGCGCCGCCTCACTGTTGTTGGGAGTTTTTCCGACGCCAGAACGTCGGCGCTTGAGACCAGGCTTTTACAGATCCTGGTCAATTCTTCGTCCGTGGTGAACGTGGCCACCGACTCCCGCGGCCTCGCGGTGAGGCCGCTGCCTGGGTATTCATTTCTTTACGTTTGCGTTTGAAACGTTGCCATTGCCATTGCCACCTTTGTCATCGCATCACCGACCATATGCAATGTTATGGTATGCAACACAACAAAAGTGATGTGATATGCAATGCACATATATGCCATGCTATGATATGGCATTAACTGCTATGCTATGATATGATATGATACTATTCTATACTATGATATATACAGGTATTATATACTATGATAGATATGTAGTATGATATATATCTATATATATGCGATGCACTGAAGATAAGACATGATATTCAGATGGTATGATATGATATGATATGATATGTTATGCTATGATATGACATGATATGCTGTGCCGATATGCTAAGCTATGCTATGCTATGCTTTGCTGTGATGCTATGCTATGCTGTGCTATGCCATATGGGGTGGATGTCCCACCACCCCTCCGTATGTGAACGCCTCTGGAGAGGACGAACCGCGTCTGCTTCCACTGACGCGCCGCACGTGGATTGGAGTTGTCTGACCTACTTGCGGGGGGGGTCGCTCCACAAGCCCAAACAGCATGCTAACCACAGGCCAGTTCCTCCCCCTCCCCCTCCTCAGCCCTTCCCCCTCCTCTCTCCTCTGTCCCCCGCCCCCCTTCCTCCGTCCTCCCTCCTCCCTCCTCCCTCCCCTCGGTCGGCTCCCCGCTGCTAGCTGCAGCGCCACCTTTACGCGACAACCGCCAGGTTCAACGCGCGCGCAATCCAAAAATCGGCTCCCCAGCTCCCCCGTGTGGAGGGGACCCCCCCCCGGGGAGGCCTGCACGACAGGCCCTGCTGCACAGGCGGCCCCTGCGCCCGCGTCGGCGCAGGGCTCCTGCCTCCCGCGGCACTCGCGCAGCTGCTGCGCCGCGCCGGTTCCAGCGCCGTCTTCCGCCATAGCGCCCTGGGCGACCGCAGCTCGTCAGAGGAGGGAATGGCACCCATAGTGCTACACTCCCCTCGTTGTCCCCTGCGCGGGCCGCCCGGGAGGCCCTCGGCGCCACCGCCGGATTCGGCCCGCGACGTTTTGGTCAGAACGCGCCCGGGAGAGGTCCGGGGAGCAGCGGCAGGGTTTGGCTCCCTCGGCTCGGCCCTCGACCCCCCTCCGGGCGACGGCGGCCGAGGGCAAGCTCCAGCCCCGCCCCCCGCGACGGCCCCCCCTCGCCTCGGCCCTCGCCACCCCCTCCGGGCGGCGCAGGGCCCCGGCCGGGGGCCCCTTCGGAGCCCGCTGGGGGCCGCCGAGCGGACAGCCGAGCGGGCCGAGCCAACTCGGGGCAGCCGAGCGGGCTCGGCTGCCCGCTCGGCTGCCGAGTCCGCTCGGGGCCGCCGAGCGGGCCGAGACCGCTCGGGGCCGCCGAGCGGGCTCGGCCCCCGCGGGGCCGCGGCAGAGGCGCCCGCGCCTCGGCCGCCGGAGGGTGCCCGCCGCGCGGCCTGCCCGCGCCTCGGCGGCCGCCGCGGGCGCCTCTCGCCGCGAGCGGCTTGGGGGCGCCCGCCGTCCTGGCGGGGAGGCGGCGCCCCGCCGCGCCGCGGCAGGCGCGGGCGCCCCGCGCCTCCCAGGCTGCCGAGCCCCCCCCGGGGGGGCCAGGCGCCCCCGGGGTGGCCCGGCGCTTGCGGCGCCAGAGCGCTCGGCGGTGGCGCCGCTGCCATGTGCCGCGCGCCACGGGGCGCCTGAGGCACTCCGTGCGGCCGCCCTGCCTTGGCCGACCTCGGCCCCTGCTGCTGGCCTCCGTGCCTCCGCGGTCCTCGCTCTGGCCTTAGCCTCCTCGTCCTGCCTCCGCCGTCCTCCCCTCCCCCGTCCTCCTCGGCCGTCCTCCTCCTCCTCCGTCCTCCTCGGCCTCCTCCTCCTCCTCCTCCTCCTCCTCTCCTCCTCCGCCTCCTCCTCCTCCTCCTCCTCCTCCTCCTCTCCCGTCCTCCTCGCCTCCTCCTCCTCCTCCTCCTCCTCCTCCTCCTCCTCCTCCTCTCCTCCTCCTCCTCCTCCTCCTCCCGTCCTCCTCGGCCGTCCTCCCCTCCCCGTCCTCCTCGGCCTTCCTCCTCCTCCTCGAGGAGGAGGACCAGAGTAAACCCAGGATGCGTCACCGATGCTGCAGTGAATTTTCCTGTCCCGAGACTTCGCCTCAGAAGTCCATCAAGTACTTCTGTCCCTCTCAGGACGCGCCCCCTTGAATGAGGAGCGTCCTGTCGGCCTGTCAGTCGGGCGGGGCCCCAGTGTGTAAAGGATCCACCGTGTATTTTTCCAGTCGCAAGACACGCCATTCATTCGCTGGATAAGTTCAATGAAGTGTCAAGCGGTAGCCCCTTTTGGAAAGGAGCTGCCCTCAGTCCATGTGCTGGTGTCAAGATTTCAAGGTTCAGGTCCGTAGCCATTTTGGCTCAAGCCATGTTTGTCTCAAGCCATTTTGGCTCAGGCTGTTTTGTCGCAATGTATTTGGGCGCACAGCTCTTTTGGGGCGATTCAGGTCGGCCACTCGAGGGGCATGGGCGCATGATCTGAGGTGAGCAATGCATTGACACCGCGAATTTCGTTGAGAGTGCAATGCTTCTTAGACGCTGCGCTAGCAGCCAAGGCATGGGAGCTACACGATTTGGGGAGGCAATCTACGGCAGTGCTTGTTGCATTCGCTCTCGAGAGCGTGCTTTGGTAATCTCAGCATCCAGATGTGGCTTGCACGAGAAGCCAACTGAAACACAGAAAGCATTCGTGAATGCTGGATTGCTCACCTTGTCTCCGAATGTTAGAGGATCCGTTTTAGAAGCAGCTACTCGGAATATCGTGCGCGATATGTATCCTTGTGCCGCCATCGAGGATGCTGTGCCGGGATTGTGCGTGAATGGATCGCAACGCTCGCAGCACATGGCCAAGTACGATTGGTTAATGGATGGGCGCCGGGTCGAATGCAAAAGTGCAAGATTGAGTTGGGAGTCTTTCAGCAAAACGTGGAGCTTCACTTTTCGTGGAATCAAAGCTGCGCGCATGGGCGTGCGCGCACAAAGCGCGTTCGATGAGCTCATCCTCTCTTTCTGCACCCCTCGCCGCTTGTACATCTACAGGCACGATGGCGCGTACTCCTTCAGCTCGGATGGCGTTAATACAGTTTGGAGGGGTGATGTGATTAGGCTTCGTGGGCCCAAGAACGAGGTAGATTGGCAACTTGCACTTCGGAATATTCTTGCAAAGCTTGATAGCAGTCGGAACGGGTGCGAGCGCCTTGCGGACGTGCCTTTATGGGACGACCGAATTTCAGAGGCAATCCAGCAGGCGTCATGTGTGAAACACCTTGCTTATCTAGGCGTGCCTTTAAGCACACTGGATCCAACTACACGTGCGCTCCGTATCCATTGTATGATGCGGGAAGTAGACACGATGTTGCATCCCAAAGCTTCGTTCACGGATCCAGAGCTATCTCATTGCATCGATGGTCGCGCACGCGGGCATGGGCAAAGTCGGCACGAATACGCTTGGGTACGTGATGGTCTGCGTGTTCAGTGCCGATCAGCCGGGATGACGTGGGACTTGGCGAACAAACGTTGGTATGTTCGTTTCGCTCACATGCGATTTCATCTCTTCGACGAGCTTTTGTTAGCTATTTGGTCTCCTGCTGGAATATTCGTGCTGCAGCACAATATGAAGTTTGGAGTCGGTACAAGTGGATCTGGCACAGCACTGGCAGGGCATTGCATAACCATTAGGGCTCGTTGCAATGAACATGACTGTGTTCTTGCTTTGCAGTGCATTTTGCAGAAGCTTGATACTGCGAACTGTGCGCTTGTCGCCCAAGTAATTTGGTCGTAAATCGCTAGCTTCGGGAATGACAAAAACAAATTCAAGGTTCAGGCCGTCAATTTCGCGGAAATCGCAACCCAGACCCCCATTCTGCAAATGAGCAGATCTTCATTTGTGCTTTTGTTGCGTAGTCTGGGATTTCGGGTCTTGGAATTCGAGAACATTTCAAGCTAGAGCCGAATTTTGAAAACGATCCAGCCCGCAGCCTTGTACTTGCAGGAAGCTTTCAGAAAACGAGTTTGCGCGGCGCTACAGCGAGAATCACACATTTAACAAACCACCGGCCCTCCATCCTTGTGACGGTTGAAAGATTTCACAGCGAATGCGCGCGGCGAGCGACATTTTGAAACCCACAAGCCTTCCATTCGTTGGAAAGCTTTCAGAATGAATGTACGCGGCGCTTACGCGAGTTCTACATTTGGAAAACCACCAGCTTTCGTGACTGCCGGAAGCTTTTGAAGCGAATGCGCGCGGCGAGCCACACGTTGAAAACCACCAGCGGTCCATCCCGTGGGAAGATTTCAACACGAATGTGCGCGGCGCTACGGCGAGTAATTACCACATCTCCATCCTGGTAGCAGTTGGCAGATGTTTAAGCGAAAGCGCGCGGCGCTGATGCGAGAAACACAAGTTGAAAACCACCGTCCCTCCATCCTTGTAATTTCAGAGCGTGAGTTACCTACCCCGCTTTCGCTTCCAGGCAAAAGCAAGCCATACCACGCGCCTCCTCGTCAAGCGGCCTGACCAGTACAGGCTGCAATTTGGCATCGTTTGGTATCTCTTGGAAGCGAGGGTGGTCAAAAGCGAGGTAGGTTTGTTTTCCCCCTACAACTGCTGGAAGATTTTTAACAGAATGTGCGCGGCGCTGAGGCGAGAACCACATATGAAGAACCACAGGCCCTCCAGCCTTGTGGCCGCTGGAAGCTTTTGCAGCCACTGCGCGTGGCGAGCCCCATGTTGAACGCCACTGGCCCCCCATCCTGCCAGGAAGCTTTCACATCGGTTTAGCGCGGCGCCGAGGCGCGAACCACTGCTTGAGCACCACCAGCGCTCCATCCTTGCAACGACTGAAAAGCGTGTAAAAGGAATGTGCGTGGTGCGTGGCGCTGAGGCGAGGGACACATCTTGGTAACCACCGTCCCTCCATCCTTGTTCCTGCTGGATGCTTTCAAAACGAATGTGCGTGGCGCTGAGGCGAGAACCACACTTTGCATCCCCCCGGCCCTCTATCCCTGTCGCTGCTTGTGAATTTTGGCGCTTCTAGCTTCAAGCCGGCAATTTTGCAAGGAAGGCGACATTTGGTAGGTCTGGCCTGCAGACTCGCCCAGTGCTGCGACATGGGGGGGGGTGGGACTCAGAAGGAAGCGGGACGGGGGAGGCGGAGGAGGACGAAGAGGAGAAAGGGGAGGACGACCAGGAGAAAGCGGAGGGCGAAAAGGAGGACAAGGTTGAGGAAGAAGGAGCAGGAGGAGGACGACGAGGAGGATGAGCGAGAGGAGTAGAGGTCATGCAGGATGATGATGATGATGATGATGATGATGATGATGATGATGATGATGATGATGATGATGATGAGGAGGAGGAGGAGGAGGAGGAGGAGGAGGAGGAGGAGGAGGGGGAGCAACAGGAGCAGGAGGACGAGGAGCAGCAGCAGCGGCAGCAGGCGGAGTCCGCGCCGAGGGTCAGGCTTGCCGCTCTTCGAGCCCGCCGTCCGCAGCCGCCGCCAGCGTCGTCGTCGTCGTCGCTGCTGCCGTCGTCGTCGTCGTCGTCGTCGTCGTCGTCGTCGTCGTCGTCGTCGTCGTCGTCGTCGTTGGCGTCGTCGGCGTCGTCGTCGTTGTCGTCGTCGTCGGCGCCGCAGTCATCGCCGTCGCCGGCGCAACCATCGGTGCCGCAGTCGTCGCCGTCGGCGCCTCCGTCGTCGTCGTCGTCGTCGCCGTCGTCGCTGTCCGCACCCGCAGCGCCCCACCGCCGCCACCACCGTCGGCTGGGGCGGCCACGGCAGCGGTGCCGGAGCAGGCGAACCCCGAGGACCGCCTCGCCCATTGTCCTGTCTTTGGCGGCGCACGCGGCGCCGCTGCGCTCCTTCGGTTCTGGCTTCGTCGTCTCGCCCCGCAGAACTCAGCAGAGCAGAGCCTTGACCCTCGCGATTGCGTCCGCGCCCCTCACCCCCCCGACGCGCTTCGTGCGCCGGGCGAGGGGTGATGGGCGTGTTTTCCAGCACCACCACCATAAGTTGGACGGGGGGGTCCTCCTCCTCCTCCTCCTCCTCCTCCTCCTCCTCCTCCTCCTCCTCTTCGTCCTCCTCCTCCTCGCCCTCCTCCTCCTCCTCCTGCTCCCCCTTCCCCCCTCCACCTTATGGTGGTGGTGGTGGAAAGCAGGCTCATCAAGGGGGGTCAGTGCGCTGTGTTGCCATTCCGTCCGCGGGGGCTCTCGCATGTGGGCCCTCTTGGCCACGGCTGCGCGCGGCTGGAGGAGCTGGCCAGGGCGGATCCTGGGGGGGTCCAGGGATCGATTTTGAACGGATCTTCAGTATCGTTCGACCGATCCCCAACCCCATCCCCATCCCCTTCGAGACCCCCACCAAATGACCACCCCAGTTGGGGATACGCCCCTCGAAACCCGAGGGGAACGACCTATATCCCCATCTAGGGGGGCAAATCGGCCAAGGGGGCCCAGGCCACGCCGCTGGGGATGGGGATCGATTAATCGATACGCAGATCCTGGGCGAAGCCCCTCCGGGTCACCCGCAGGGTCGCGGGCGTCGCCGCTCTGCACGCCGCGCTGCTGGGCAGGGTTCGTCTCCCGGGGGCGGCGCGGGGAGCCGCTCTCGGCCCTGCGCGCGAGGGTGGCCCCTTGGCCGGAGTGCCTTCTGCTGCGCGGCCTGCGGGGGTTGTCGGGTGGGTGGGCCAAGGCGGCCATGCATGCGGGAGAGCCTTCGCCGCAGGGACCTTTGGTGGTGCGGCCCCCTGGGGTGCCCCGAGCACCGCATGCGCTGCGACGGCAGCGGCTTGCTCGCTGCGGTTGGTCCTCGCCCCGAGCGGGCCCCCCGCCCCCCAAAGCCGCGCGCAGGGTCGATCTGGCGCGGAGGCCGGCGGCCAAGCCTCGGCTCGCCGGCTGCCGCCGTCGCATCGCACACGGAGCGATGGGCAAGAGACTCAAGAGGGAACAAAAACACACACAGACACAATTAATCGTCGACTCCCAGGGACATATCGGAAAATATGGGAAGTGGGGGGGAAGACAAAAACCCAGAAGATATGGGACAATATGGGGAATCTTTTTGTTTGTGTGTATTTATTTGTGTGTCCTGGGGCCCCTTCAGAGACGCGCACCTGGGGTCACCCTTGCGCGAGTGGCCGACGTTCCTCGTCGCTCTCTTGTGGTGCTGCCCGCAGTGCGAGAAAAGCGCGAGGTCCGGCCGCCAGTGGCCCAGGCGTCGAGGAGGGATCGGCCTCCAGGCGCCGTCACCAGTAAGTTGGAGGGGGAGGGGGGTCCTCCTCTTCCTCCTCCTCTTCCACCTCCTCCTCCTCCTCCTCCTCCTCCTCCTCTTCGTCGTCCTCCTTCTCCTCCTCCTCCTCCTCCTCCTCCTCCTCCTTCTCCTCCTCCCCCTCCCCCTCCAACTTATTGGGGATCGGGGGGTGGGGGTCGGCCCGGGGGTCGAGGGTCGAGGGCGACCCAAGAGGGAAGTTCGGTCCCCGCGGCAGCCATGTCGATATTGTCGTTTCGAGCCGATTCGGTTTCGAGGATTTCGGTTTCGATCCGATTCGACTCCTGATTCTGACTTCGGTTTACGTAGAGTTCGCCTCGTGCACGCCTCGGCCAGGGCCGGCGGACGTAGGTTTTGATGCCTTCCGATCTGCCAGCTGGTCTCTGCTCGGTATGTGTCGATGGCCGATTTGGCTCAAGGCAAGAAGAGGAGGCTCGAGCCGCTCGGGCAGAAGAACCATGGGACCATGAGGAAGGGAGGGAGGGAGGGAGTGAGGGGAGGAGTAGAACTAAGGAAGGGCGGAACGGAGGAGGGAAGGGACGCTGGATTGCAGGAAGGGGGAATGGAGGTTCGGTGTAATGAAGGAGTGGCATGTAGTACAGATGGACAGTGCTGATAATGCTGGTAATGATGATAATGACGATGCTGATGATAATGATGATACTGATGATGGTAACGACGATGGTGATAATGGTGGTGGTGATTGTGATGATGACGATGGTGATGGTGGTGGTGGCGGTGAAAATGATGATGGTGATCATGATGCGAATACTGATGATGGTGATGCTGCTAAGGATGCTGATGCCGCTGATGATGCTGATGCTGATGATGACGATGATGCTGATGATGCTGTTGATGATGATGATGCTGATGATGATGATGATGATGATGATGATGGTGATGATGATGATGATGATGATGATGCTGATGCTGATGATGATGATGCGGAGTAGGAGGAGGAGGAGGTGGTGAGATGGGAAGGTTCAGGAGTCGGAGGACGGGAGGCTGTGTAACAACGTTGCATGTTCAAGTGGACGTGACCGTCCAGCGAACGAGGTCGGGATTCTGCAGCGCCTTCAGGAGCTGGAGGAGTCCTCCAACAGCTACTTCAGCAAGATATACACGGGGGAGATGACCGTATCCCAGCTGGTCGACATCATGAAGGAACTCAGATCCCTGCCGCCCTTCTCATTTGCACCGTTCTTTTCTCGATTCCACCTGAGCGATGGAAAAAGGGGGCCGTCTTCGCCGACATTGGCGCGTAAGCTAACCGCGTAAGGTTGCGCGTCAGCGCCATCGGCTCCATTGTGGCTTGACGCGCTGGTGGCTCGCGCAAGTTTTCCGCGTAAGGTCGCTGCGTCATCTCGCGTAAGACCCATTTTTGATCGTCGCTCACCTGCGTTCTTCTTGTCTCGCACATCTTGTGCCACCTGGTCCATCGCGTGTGCCTCCATCGTTCTTATCCGCAAGGGTCTCGCCCTCCGCCGTTGGCCCCCTCTCCGTCATCGCAGAATGTGGTGGAGCTGCGCTGGGATGCCTGGGCGCCGATTTGAATTACTCACTGCAGGACGGCTGGTAATCGTGACGTCATTTGCAAGCCATCGTGGCCTCGGGGAGGCGAACCTGGAGCAAATTGAAAGGGTCGTGGCCTCGGGGGCGCGAATCTTGCTCAATGTTGGGAGGGTCGTGGCCTTGGGGGCTCGGATCTTGCGTAATTCAAAAAGGATTATGGCCTCTGGGGCGCGAACCTTGTGTAATTGGCCGCGGGGGCGCGAATATTTTGGCCGCAGGGGCGCGGCATGTGTGTCCTTTACAAGGGGTAGTGGCCTCGGTGGCGCGAACATAGCATATTTCATTGAAGAGTGTGAATTATGGCCCGGGGATTCGAATCAGGTATACTTTCTAGGAGTCGTGGCCTCGGAGGCGCGAACCCCGCGCCATTTACGAAGAGTCATGGCTTCAGGAACGCGAGCCTCATGTACTTTTACGTGTCCCAGGGCTCCCTCCGGGAATTCTGAGAAGCCCTGGAGGCCGTGGTAATCAGGGTGGCCTTCAGCTCCCCCCTTCGCGCAGGCAGTAGTAGTTCACATTAAAAATGCAAGAAGTTGAGGCACTTTTACATGGGAGACTGGAAACGAGAAGTTGCACTGAAACTGTGACTGGGACCTAGGAGCTCATGACTGGTATCTACTTTGCTGATGGCGATAATGCTGATGATGCTGATGATGACGATGATAATGGGGAGGAGGAGGATGATGAGTATGACGATCATGGCGGTGGTGATGATGAGGTTGAGGATGGGACTGTTAAGGCTGCTGCTGGTTATCATGATAATGATGCTGATGCTGATAAGGATGAGGATGATGGTGATGAATATGATGATGATGATGATGATTGCGATACTGACGACGGCGATGCTGCTGATGATGATGGCGCAGGTGAGGATGATGATGATGCTGATGCTGATGCTGATGCTGATGATGATGATGATGATGATGATGCTGATGGGTGATGGGTGATGGGTGATGGGTGATGGTGATGTTGATTAAGCTGATGATGATGACGATGATCGATGATGAGGCTGATGATGATTGTGATGCTGATGATTGTGATACTGATGACGGTGGTGGTGATGATCATGATGATGACGGTGGTGATGACGATGATGCTATCGATGATGTCGATGATGGTCATGACGAGTATGCTGTTGAGTACGATGATGCTGATGCTATCGGTGCTGATGACGATGATGATGCATCTGCTGTTATTTATGATGATTATGCTGCGGATGCTGATGGTGGTTATGATGATGACGATGGTGGTGGTGGTGATGATGATGGTGATGATGAGTATTATGATGATGTTGTTGATGATGATGCTGCTGATGATGACAACGAATACGATGATGATGCAGCTCATGATGCTGATGATGATGATGCTGATGATGATGACGATGATGCTGATGGCGATGATGTGGTGAAGGAGGAGGAAGAGGAAGTGGAGGAACGAGAACGTGGGAGAAGGACATGCGTGTCGTGAGTGCGACGAAGGTCTTTCAAGCGCCGTCGTTTCTTCCCTTTCCCCTCAGGACTTCGCTTCTTACGAGAAGGGGAGCTGGAAGCACGAGGCAGGCTGGCGCCATCCTCGTTCTTTTGCCTCGCACTCCGACCCCTTCTTTCGTTGCTGTCATCATTTATCATTTCTCTCTCTTTATATATATGTCTATATACATCGATGCATGTACGCACACATATATATATATATGTCCCTCCCCTCTCCCCCTTCTCTTTCTCCTTCTTCCTCCTATTTCTTTTCCTCCTCTGTTCTGGTCCTCCTTCCCTTGTTCCTCCCCCTTCTCTCCCCTCCACGCTCGAAGTGCTTCTTCCCCTCGCGTCTCTTGAAGCCACCGGCAATAGCTGCAAGCCCACCTCCCAGGAGGTGCCCCAGGCGGATCTTTTGATTTGCGCAGGGGTCGGGGGATGAGGAGGACGCGGAGGATGGAAATGGAGGAGGAGGAGGGGGGAGGGAGGATGGGGCTACGGAGGAGGAGGAGACGGAGGAGGAGACGGAGGAGGAGACGGAGGAGGAGACGGAGGAGGAGACGGAGGAGGAGGAGGAGGAGGAGGAGGAGGAGGAGGAGGAGGACCAGAGTAAACCCAGGAGGCATCAATGGTGCTGCAGCGCATCCTCCTGGCCTAAGTTCCCGTCGCAGCAGTCTCCGCCAATGCTCTATGTCCTCAGGCCATAAGCGCCCCCGTGGAGAGGCGAGCACCCAGGGGGCCTGCCATGGAGAGGGAGGGGCCCCGCTTCGAGAAGGAGTGGCCCTGCATCCTGCCAGCCGCGAGAAGCGCGACGAGGCAGGAACGCGAAGCTCCAGAGTGTGTCCATCGAGAGCTGCAGGTGTAGTTCTCCGGGGGAGAAACAGCACAGATCCAGCTCTCTCGGCTGTCCTCCTCTCCCCCTCGTCCCCGAGAGAACGAGGAAGGAGAGGGGGGGAGGAGGAGGGCCGAGCGAGCTGGATCTGTACTGCTTTCCTCCTCCCGTTCTTGCGCGGCGCACCTGCCCGTACACCGGCCTCCGGCTCCCGCGGATGGTCTTCGGCCGGGCCTCACCCCCCCCCCTCCTCCTCGGGTAGGGGAACAAAAAGTGGCATAAACACAAAAACTCGAAGGTCCGCGCGGATTTCTCAGATCGGCGCTGGGGCCCCCTGGCGGCGCCTCCGGCGCCGCCCCTGGCGCGCTCCGCGCGCCAGGAAGGGGGGTGCCGATCCGAGAAATCCGCGCGGACCTCCGAGTTTTTATGTTTATGTCACTTTTTGTTCCCCTATCGGGAGCCTTGAGATGGGGGTCCATGCAAACGGGGCTCAGCCAGAGCGCCCGATCTTGCAGGATCCTGCAGGGCCAGGGCCGCATTGACCTGGGCTCGGGTGCAGGGCCCTGCAGGATCTTGCGGGATACTTCGCGCTGACCCGGGCCGGAGCGCCGGATCTTGCAGGATCTTGCAGGATTCTGAAACGCCCGACTGATCCGGGTCCTCCTCCTCCTCCTCCTCCTCCTCGTACTTCTCCTCCTCCTCCTCCTCCTCCTCCTCCTCCTCCTCCTCCTCCTCCTCTGGATTGGCCCGGGTCAGAAAGACCCCCGACCTCCGCCTCCGCGGCCGCGCGCTGCTTGTCCACCCGCTCTGGGGCGCCCCGCGCTCCGCGCGTCCCGCGGGCCCTGCAGTCGCGCTCGGGTCCGCCGGCGCTGCCGACCAAACAGTTCAGATCGAGAGCCCCCCGTTGGTAAATCAGGAGGGGAAAAAACACAGACACAATTAATCGTCGCCTCCCAGGAAAAGATGGGAAGATATGGGAAGTGTGGGGGGGGAGACAAACCCAGAACGTATGGGGAAATATGGGGAATATGTTTGTTTGTGTGTACTTATTTGTGTGTCCTGGGACCCCTTCAGTAAAGGATCTACCCTCCATCCGTGTAACTGTCGCACAGGTGCACGTGCCCCGCTGGATGTGCTGGTGATGCCTGCAGCGAGGGCCCGCCCTGATTTGAGGAGGAGCCGCCCTCCATCTGTGTAGCTGCTGCGCCACGCAACATGCTTGGTTGTCTGTTAGAGGGAGTCTCAGGTGTCTGCCTTAGTATGGTAGGTTTGCGGCCTTGGCGCGCTCACGACGCCGGCGAAGGCGTTCGAGGCTGAATTCTGCGACGCGAAAGCACCGAGGGACACGGTGACGCCACTGGACCCGACGGAATCCAACCCTGGACGGACGGGGCCGCGATCGATTCAAGGTTGACCGACGCGGCGTCAAACATCTTTGCGCGTGCCAGCGCCGCGCGAACTCACCGTATTTGGAAGAGGAACCGCCCTCCATGTTTGTTGCTGTTGGCAGCTTTGGGGCGGCTGATGCACGCGGCGCTACGGCGAGAGCCACATTTCGAGAACAAGTCGCCCTCCGTGCGCGCCGCCAAGGCGATAGCCACATGTTGGAATCAATTCGCCCTGGGCTCTGGTTGCTGTTCGAATCTGCTGGGAGAACTTGCGTGGCGCTATGGAGAGAGCCACATTTTGAAAGATTAACCGCCCTCCGATATGGTAGCTGCTGGAGCTTTCAGACTTCGGGAAACCTCACGTGCAACGCCTGGCCCGCATTACCGGTACGGTGGCGGTGTGATGAGGAGGAGCTGCTGATGGAACGGGGGGTGGGGGAGGAGGAGGAGGAGGAGGAGGAGGAGGAGGAGGAGGAGGAGGAGGAGGAGGAGGAGGAGGAGGAGGAGGAGGAGGAGAAGGAGGAGGAGGAGGAGGAGGAGGAGGAGGAGGAGTGCGGGTGCCGCACCGCGCGGTGCCGTGCCGCGCCGAGCTCGTGGGTAATGGCAAGCGTGTCGTGCCGCGCACTGCCACGACTCCATCATTCTCTGAGGGAGGCCGGTGTCGCCCGAGTGCCGCGTGACGTGCCGCAGACTCGCCGGGTCCGGCGTGGCCCGCCCCAGAGTCGCAGGCGTTGCTGTGAGGCCGCGCTGGTGCCGGTGGCCTCCCTGCTCTCTCCACCTGTTGCGGTGAGCAGCATGATGACGGTGACGTCCTCCGTCAGTGCGCCCCACGCCTTCCTCTGGCAGCCTCCGTCTTGCGCCAGACCCGAGGTGTACAGCCGCATGATCTCGAACCTCTTCGACGAGTGCCGCTTCTTCCCGAAGTATCCCCCGCAGGAGTCTGGCCTTGGTGGAGTGCGCTGTGGTGTCTGCTGTGATGCAGAGCGTTCCGAAAAGGGCCTCGCGGGTGGTGCTCTTGGGGGCATCGATTTGATGCAGGATGTATTTCCCCTCGTCCTCTTCGTGCTCCTGCTCTTCTTCCTTCTCTTTCTGAAGTCCTCGGTGACGTGCGCAGAGACGACCACTCAAGCAGTGGCGAAGCGTCCTAGCTCGCCTATAGGCCTACCAAGCAATGTTCTAAGAACCTTGTTTTGGTTACTACGAAATGTTCATAGAACATGTCTGACTGCGACTGTTTTGTGTCAGCACATCGGGTTTATGTTTTAAGAACATTGTTTTTGTTATTGGGAAATGATTGGGTTCTAAGCACATTTCGTGGTAGGACTATAGGAATGCTGGGACGGTCGGTCCCTGCTCAAACCACAGCATCGACGGACGACGATGCCGAAAACGACGGCGATTATGGCGACGACGGCGACCAAAACCACGACACGGACCACGAGAAGAAACACATAAGGAGGATCAGGAGCACGAGGAGGAGGAGGAGGAGGAGGAGGAGGAGGAGGAGGAGGAGGAGGAGGAGGAGTGAGAGGAGGAAGAGGGGGAGGGGGAGGAGGAGGAGGAGGCGGGAACGCCTGCGGGGGATGACGCCCCCCGGATCGCCACCCCAGAATCCCCAAGCCCCCCGCCTCCTCCTCCTCCTTCTCCTCCTCCGCCTCCGCCTCCGCTTCCGCCTTCGCCTTCGCCTGCGCCTCCGCCTCTTCCTCCTCCTCCTCCTCATCCGCCCTCTGCCTTCGAGCGGTCGATGGGTTGACATCTCGTCTTCTTCGGCGCAGGGGCGGCGGACGGCCGACAGAGGCTGGCGGACGTATAGCAGGTGCGGCTCGGCCGGCGCACATAACTGAAATGCGCTCCTGGTTCTCGAAGCGGCCCATTCGGCCAAGCCGATAGTGCTTCGCGCTGGCGGGGACCTGCCCCGTGTAGTAAGGAGCTTTGTGTCTCGCGTAGTCGTTGGTGCTGGCGAGTGCGTGTGCACGGGCAGCAAACCGCGCATTCTTCAAGCAGTGTGTGTGTGTGCATACATGTAGAAGCAATAGAAAGAGAAGGATATTCAATAAAACGCGAATGATCGACAACAACAGCAACACCACCACCACCAACAACATCAACAACAACGACAACAACACTACCTGCAACACCAACAACAACATCACCACCACCACCAACAACAACACCACCACCAACAACAACAACAGCGGCAGCAGCAGCAACAGCGGCAACAACACCAACACCAACACCGACAACACCAACACCAACAACAAAAACAGCAGCAACAACAATAGTCATGTTATGACTGTTCGCCCTTATCTGCTCACGTACCAGTCAACACGTATATCCCAAACCCTCGACACCCGCCCTCTTCGTCTCCGAGCTGACCCTCTTAGGGGTACATCTTCCTTACCTGCAACGTGTAGTTCGTGCAGCCCCTAAGGCAGGGGAAGAGAGGACGGATGGAAGGAAGGGACAAGGGGGAGGGAGGAGGATGGAGCACGAGAGAGGATAGCAGGAGGGGGGCTAGGAGTAGAAAGCACGTGGCCGAACCAGACGGGCAGATCGGGCGGGTTCACCCTTACGGGCGGGCCGGGAAGGCGGGCCCAGGCGGCCAGGTCGCGCAGGCGGATTGTTGAAGCGTGTGTCCTGCATGTATCGCGGGGAGGTTTCGAGCGATAGCGCGAGTTTTCCAAATAAATCGCGAGATCGCCAGAGCGAGACCGTGATTCCTGAGTGTCACGAGAGCGGCGTTTGAGTAAATTGCGAAGAGGTCCCACGCGAGAGCGCGACTCCTATATAGATCGCAAGGAAGTCCCGCGCGAGAGCGCGATTTGGGAATCCATTGTGAGGACGTATGAGGCGGGAGCCGTTGTTGTTGTTGTTGTTGTAACTCGGGGGCCAAGGGCCCAATTTGGTGACCACACACTGTCCCTTGTAGAAAACAGGGTGCGAGCCCCAGAGGGATAATTTGGATTAAAAAACACAAGGTGGTCCAGGGGGGATCAACAACACGTGTTCTTCAGAAATCAACATTCAACAACAACAGCAGCAGCAACAACAACAACAACACCAACAACAGCAACAACACCAACAACAAGAGCAGCAGCACACACAATAAGACATATCTAGACAGGTAGGAAAGAGAGAGAGAGAGAGAGAGAGAGAGCGCGACAGACATATACAGCGAGATAGAGAGGGAGTCGGGATAAAGAGAGGAATACATATATATATATAGAGAGAGACATAAAGAGAGAGAGAGAGAGAGAGAGAGACAGAGAGAGAGAACGAGAGAGAGAGAGAGAGACAGAGAGAGAGAGAGAGGGAGAGAAAGAGAGAGAGAGAGAGAGAGAGACCGCAGACATACAAGGACATGGTCTGCGCGGAAAAGCAGCGGTACAGGCATGGGCAGACGTGAGCGTAAAGGCGCAATGGAGGGGCAGTGGCGGGATGCGTTGGAGAA